GTGCGTCTTCTGAGCTCAGAGGGTCATGCTTCGCGCCCTGGGTAAAATGAATGAGTCTAAGGGATGCTTCCGGCATAAGGAAATTTATAATGTAACTGAGGCGACAAGACTTATACTCAGGAAACAGCATATATGATTTTGTGCCAGATAAGTGGCGGAGAGACATGTCTGAAGGTCCCTGGGAAACAGAAAGAAAGGGGGCCCTCGACTAGAGATAACAGCTATTTCTTGAGTGTTTACCAGCCAGGCTAAGTGCTCTACACCCCTTAGCTCCTCTGTTCTTGAAAACAACCAGGGGGGTAGGGGCGGTTTTTATTCCCATTTCACAGGTAAAGTCTAGAGAGTTGAAGAAGCCTCCTCCTAAGCCCTGACAGTGAGAACACAGTCGAGAAGCCTTTATACAAGGTCTGACTCCAGAGCCCATGCTCTTGGAGCGGAGGATTCACTGTCTTCTCAGAAACACAGGCTGGGGGTTCCCAGCAGAAGGGCCAGCAGGCTGTGTCTTCCTGTTACTGTCTCTCCCTGGGCTGAGACACCCGAGAATTCCTCCCAGAAAGCCCTCCCGGGCCAGTTGCCAGAATCAGAACAGAATGGTGGAATGGGGCTGGCTGGCCAGGAGGTGGGACACCAGCAAAAAAAAAAAAAAAAAAAAAACAACTCCCACTAAACCTCAGGGGTCTCTAAAAAGCAAGACCAAGTATATAGTCTTCTAAAGCATGGGAATTTAGCTAGGGAATCGCTTCTCGGCCTTTTGGCTAAGATCAAGTGTGGAATTTAGCTAGTGAGCTAGCAGAACTTTCTGGATCTCTGAGGAGGTGTACATTCTCTTTCAAGATAAAAAGATTCTCCATTTTATTAATTGTAGTTGGAATCTCTGAAAAATGTGTTACATTATGCCCCTGCTTCCTTAGTGTGCCCCTCAGAAAAAGGACTACATTTTCATGACTCAGATGGATCGGGAAAATAATTTGGTTCTGGTACAACTCAGTGACTTTGTTAATGCTTACTAAGGTGTACGTATTTATTTACTCCTGCCGTGAATGATTCCAGACCGGTGTGGGTTTCAATCCTCGGGTCTGTTTTTCATTTATCTGTTTCTTCTTTTTTAAACTGTTGTTTCTCCTTGTTGTTTGCTTCTAAGAGTCTCTACTTTTTAGTTTTAGCGAGGCTATCAGATAACCATGCTTGTTAGAACTACGTGTAAAACAAAAATAATCAGCTCTGGATAAGTACTTATAAGTTAAGTGCATTACTCTCACTACGTGCGTTTCGTGACCCCTCTTCGGCCCCTTTGGCTTCTTAGCCTCATTTCGCCAACTTCTGATACCTCGTCTCCTCCCTCTGTCCCAAGTTCATGAGTTGAGATCAAGTAGGATATCTAGAGTCAAATCAGGTACTTAGGGAGGCACAGTTAATAAGGGTAGGATGGAAAGTGAACAGCATAAGATACCCTTTTGTTTGGTTTTTAATTGTCCTATAAATGCTCTGTTGGGTTGGGCCTAAAGGCTGTTTGTCTGGAAGGCTCCAGTCTAGAATGGAGTGGAGTGGAGGTTTCACCAATTGTCCCCTAGAATCTAACCACTAAGCTGCTCTTACTCCCTTCCGGAGTTGGGAGGACAGAAGCTTAGAGAAAGAAGGGTCAGCATTTGATGGTTGAACGCCATGGACGTGTGAGAAGATAGGATAAAGAGAGACCCGGGGTCAGTCTTGATTCGTGTAAATGTTATTCCTGCCAGATACAGTCTCTTCGCAGGAGCTCTAAAACGGAAGCCCTAGAAACTGTGACACCAAGGGCCCTTGTCCCTGCTAGTCCCTACGTGACAGCACCTGGATTGGATTGGCTTCCAGGGCCCTACCACCATGGTCCCCTGCTCTACTCCCACTCACCCATATCCTGCCCATCCCTTAGCCGTGCCTTTCTGCCCCTCCTCTTTGACCTGTTTCTCTAGGGTCTCAGGGGACATCCCTGCCCACTCCAGGCTCAGGGGTATGAATCTGAGGTTGAGGTTTCATTCCCTTCGCCAGTGGATCCTGCTACCTGTCCCTCGGTTTGGCCAGGTGGCAGGCGGAAGGAGGCTGTGGTGGCCGGGAGCCCAACCCTAGTGGATCGGTAGCTGGCCTGGGTCCAGGGTTGCTTCATTTATCTGGCACAGGCACCTCTGTCCTCAGGACTAGCAGCAGGTCTCTGCTCACATCTGGAAAAGTTCAAAACTGTTTGTCTGGGTGAAGGAGGCCCTGGGGGAGGGGGTTCAGAAGCATGACATCACCTCAGTCAAGGCCCCGCTTTCTTTGGAAAGAGAAAAGGGCTGGGCTAGCCTGAGCCAGATAGGATTCCCAGGAATTGATGTGTTGGAAGGAAGGAGAGGAAAGGGTGGGAAGGAAGGATGATGTCAAGGGGGAGTTCCAGTGGTGCCTTGGAATGGTACCAGGGGAGGATGATCCTTCAGTTCCATGTCCACATGTTCCCACCACCTGCCCCCTATGGTGAGTTCATACCTTAGAGGCAGTTGGCTAGGTGGATGCTATCTAAGGGCAGAGGAAGACTGCATCTGCTTCCCCATCTATTTTATTTTGGAAAAATAACACCCACCTAACCCATGTGTGAGCCCATTCCTTTCTCTCCAAAAGTGTCGGGGATGCATCCTGACCTTTAGCAGTTTAGACTCACTGACCCTCTTGTTCCCTCTACTCAAGTGTCGCTAAACCCCAAGGGGCCCCACTGCTTCCTGCCCCGCTTGAACTGTGGCCTCCCCTCTTGGCCAAAACCTTGAGAACCTGATTCAGGTTCTTATCTCTCAAATGGAGATGGTAATATCACCTCTTCCTCACCTGCACATAATATTAAGGTGTGATTATTGTCCTTTCCATTACTTTCAGTCTACTTGCAGCAGGTGGGGAGAGAGGCAGATATGGGAGAGGGAGACTTTTCTCCACTGTTAAGGGTGACATTCTTGGTCCCAGGTTAACTGCAATGAAACTAAAGCCCAACTTCCCTCTTGATGGTGAGGGAAAGAAGAGGTATCATTCTACATTGTTATTTTGCCTGGAAACCTCCAAAATATACAGGCCTAGATCTCAATCAGGAAAATTTAAAGACCAGCTTTCGGGTGGCCTGGGATCCCTAGGGGCCTTTCCTTGAGGGTGGTTCTGCTGGGTACTAACCTGTGGATGCCAAGTCCACTCATAACCTTTATGGGGCCCAAGCCAAGAGTAGAATGGAGGCCCTCTTTCTATATGTCTGCGTACTCCAAGGTTATCAATCAGGCCTATTAGCTTATAAATGAAATATCCTCGGGGCACCTGGGTGGCTCGATAGGTTAAGCATCTGCCTTTGGCCCAGGTCATGATCCCAGGGTCCTGGGATGGAGCCCCACATTGCAGGCGTGAGGGTGGGGGTCCCTGCTCAGCAGAGAGTCTAAGTCTCCCTCTCCCTCTGCCTCTCCCCACCAATTCTCTCTCTCTCTCTCTAATAAATAAAATATCCACTATCCTCTTGCCTTGAAAAATATACCTTCATGGCCTCCTGGAAAGCCAAGTTTGTTTTTGGGACCCTGTCAGTCTCAGAATTCAGAGCCACAGTGTGGCTGAGGAGGAGGAGATGGCCTTTGACCCCAGCCTGTCCCTCTTCTCTTCTTCCTTTTTTTTTTTCTTTTTTCCATCTTCTCTTCTTATCCCAACTCTGGCACACATTGTTGGGAAACTTGCATGCATGCAAGGGACACACCACCCACATGCTTAATGTGTAACTCTTCTCCTTGAGACAGCCACCTCTTGGCCACCCTGTCACCTTGGGGTGCATACCCTCGTGCTGCAGTTCACGCTCAGAAGGTTGGACTAGGAGGAAGGGCCCCATAAAGATCCTCAAGGGAGTAAAGAACCCTTCAGACAAAAAGTTCTAGGAGTTCTGGTCCCATTGTATGATCTAGAAGAGAGGGTATCTTTGCTGCCCCATGAACTCCTTATGATTTGGGGCAGGGCAGAGGAGAAGGGGGGAACAGATTATAAAACTCTAAAGCTCAGGATCCCACCAGGAAGCTTCTCCATCCTGGGTGTAAGGATGGCAGTGATTGGGACCCCGGGACTCATGGAAGGGCAAGGACCCTCAGGAAGATCTTCAGAGAATAATTAAATCCAGGAACATTATACTACATCGATTTAATATTTGTCCTTAATTCTCCCAACAATCCGTATAAGAAAAGACCCACACTTTTGAGATTGGTAAACTGAGGCACACACGGACACACACACATGCATTAAACTACATAGTTATGAGCAGAGCCAGAACTACACTATCTTCCCACTACATTTAATGAGAAACTAGGCCTTACGTTCTCTAGTTCACCCGCTGGATTCCTAGGTCAGAGCTTCTTGAAAGAAATCTTGGGATGGCTCACCGAGTTCCTCAAGAAGACAAGGAAGATGGGTTTGCAGGCCATGAGGGAAAGAACAAAGGGGGTTTAGGAATGGGGCAGCCTTGGACAGAGAGAAGATTTTTAAGGGGATAGTGTAGAGATGGCGTGACTCTAGTGATTATTCCAAGAGTATATTACTCCAGTGGATGGAAAGTGACAGAGAGGACGACACATTAAAAAGGAAAAAAGGCATTTCCTCTCCCGTATTTTAGATTCTGTGATATTTATTGAGATACAGTGTGATAGTTTGATATTTTAGTTAATACATTGCAAACATTGTCTTGCATTCTCATGTGGCTTTAGGTGGTTTGTTTGTTTGTTTTTTACAATTTTTCATTTGTAATGATCATGGTATGTGACGTGCATATAGCATTTATCCTCTTGTAATTCACTTAGTTGCTCACAACTTTTCCCTCCTGTAAATAGGACTATATGAGACATTTGATGCATACAAACTTTTCCTTCCTTATTTTCTTAGGGAAAATCCAGTCGTGAGAAATGAGTCACCTGTCCAGAAGGATAATCATGATGTCGTGAGGCTCCAGGATGATTTAAGTACTGACTTTTTCTCCTTGTTTCTCCTTGTAGCCTTTGGGTTCACAAACACGGAAACCATGACTACTCCTACCACAGTGCCAACCTCCACAGAAATAATGTCAACTGTTTCTGCAAATACATCCAAACAGGAAGCCATCACACTAACTCCTTCTGGAACTACCACCCTGTACTCTGTCTCCCAGGACAGCAATGGGACCACAGCAACCATCTCAGGTAAAGAGGGTTTGTCTCAGGCCCCAGAGGGATGCTGCCGTTGCTTGGGTAAAGCATTAGGATGTTTGCACACCACCCGCAGGGCTCCTTGCCCCCTCCGAGAGAAACGTACAAGCCCCATGAAATATGGTTTGTGCAGCATGCTTAGGGGACCCTGAAGTACGTTCCTGATAATTCCTCTCTAGTGACATCTTTCTCAGGCTAGCGCTTTGGCAGCTGATCCTGATCGGTAATTCTCCTTGTACCCTGCCCTCACGCTGACTTCAGATCAGTGATAAAATAAGGATCAGATGAGGACTCCCTAGAAATCTCTGATCTCTTCTAACTGAAAGAAAGTATGTACAGGTTCAGACTGGTTTTTGACTTCTTTAGGGTAGACCAGAATCCAGGTCTGTCAAAACCCTGAAAGCACTTCTAATGACATTCTCAATTATAGCGATGGTTCCCGCAGCTGGGCGGAAATGAGTTTGGTAAGGGTTAGGACGTGAAGTAACCCTAAACTCTCCCAGTTCCCTCTTCTGGTTTGAGACCCATGCCAATATCATTCTCTATAAGGTTTTAATTTAAAACAGTGAACTGAGATGCGTGCGTGTGTGTGTGTGTGTGTGTGTGTGTATTTATGCAAACGTGCTCATACACACTTGTGTTTTGGTCTATTTCAGAGACTACAGTCAATGTCACATCTACCTCTGAGATCACCCTAACGCCTGGGACCATGAACTCTTCTGTTCAGTCGCAGACCTCTTTAGCTATCACGGTATCTTTTACCCCAACCAACTTTTCAACTTCAAATGTGACCTTGGAGCCCAGCCTGCTACCTGGAAATGGCTCGGATCCCCCCTACAACAGCACCAGCCTTGTGACATCCCCCACGGAATATTATACATCACTTTCTCCTACCCCAAGTAGAAATGACACCCCAAGTACCATCAAGGTATGTGAATTGGGCCAGCAGTGACAGACTGCCCCATTGTTTCATATGTATGCAAACTCTCTCTTCCCTTCAACCTCTCCTCATCCCAACCAGTGAGATTTGGGTCATGTGATAATTAGCATGGAAAATATGCTGCTTAGGGGCTCCTGGGTGGCCCAGTCAGTTAAGCATCCGACTCTTGATTTCAGCTCTAGGTCATGATCCTAGGGTTGTGGGATCAAGCCCTGTGTCGGGCTCCGGGCTCAGTGAGGAGTCTGCTGGAGATTCTCTCTCTCCCTCTCCAAGTGCCCCTCCCCCTTCCCACATTTGCACTCTGTCTGTCTCTGTCTCAATAAATAAATAAATAAATAAATAAATAAATAGATAAATAAATAAATAATCTTAGGAAAAAAAGAAAAGAAAATATGCAGCTTAAATGTTGCTGGAAAGGACAGACAAGGAGTGGAGACAGGCAGCTGATGTGGGGTTATTGCACTTCTGGAGAGTGCCAAGTAAAGGAGGTCTGCTGTGGTTCTTGCTAGTACCTCTCCGTCTGGGCTTTCACCAGGCCACCATCTCCCTTTGGGCATATTTGAAAACCATCCTCCATTTAATGGGACGACTTTTCCAGAAATGTTTGAGACAGCCACCATTTCCTCTATAGAGAGGGTTTGGCAGTATGCCAGGCATAGAGGAGCCATGGAGAACTGGGCAGACCAGGGATAGTAAGCTCGGCCTTGGGGTCGGTGGCTGTCAACAGCTTTCAGCAAGAAGGGTAGAAAATATGAGGGCATGGAGCCCGGCGGAGGGCATGAGGAACCTGCCTGGTTTCTGTTTTCAAAGCAACCAGAATAGGAATCTGGAGAGTCCTAGGGGCCTGGAAGAAAAGGAGTGTCACCATTTCAGCCTGGCCACCCTATTACCTGTTTGCTTATAGGGTCTTCCTGCAAGTGTATAATCCGCTACAGGGAAAACAGCCCCAGTGGGACAAGTTCCTCCCCTCTTCCATTTCTGTACCATCCAAGCTCATGTTTACTAAGACTGCAAATAGCTACTTGCTGGCAAGCCTGGGCTAGTAACACAAGTTTTGATTATCTGATGGGGATGGGGATGAGATGGAGGAAGGGAGTAAAACCATTATATAGCTCTAGTCCTCCAACATTTTAAAATTTCCTTTTTTTCCTAAAACTTCTTAAGGAAGGACCTCACAGAAATGAAACTGGAAAAGAGGTGGGGGGAAAAATGAAGGGCAAAGATACTAGCTTATTTACTTTGTGTTTTAATACAGGGAGAAATCAAATGTTCCGGAGTCAAAGAAGTGAAATTGAACCAAGGTATCTGCCTAGAGCTAAATGAGACCTCCAGCTGTGTAAGTCAAACTCCCCTCCACCTCACCCCCATCCATCCTTTCCTCTTCCCTCTTCTCCCACAATCCTTAAGCCGTCTATAGGACTGGACCAGATGGTGGTGGTGGTGGGGAGACTTAGCTTGGTCAGGCACCTTCCTGCACTGAGCTTTGGGTTTAGGGAGTAAGAGGCCCCATCTGGTGGGCAAAGAAGGCAAAGACAATTTTATTAAATTTAGTTGTTAACTTTTCCCATTCTCCCTAGTACGTTTAATATGTACATTGCCAGATTTAAGTTTGCTTTTATGTCAAGAAAGTCCTTAGTGAAATATAAACTAGTAATCTACCAATTTGTTTATTATTATTGACACATAACTCTTTAATCCGCATAGAAAGAATGTCTTTGTGCCATAATGCTATATTTTCCATATAACCGTCATTCCTAACATTATTTATTGAGTGATCCCCTCCGTTGTTGATTGCAATGTTGTTTTTCAGCTTCTATTAAGTTTTTATACATCCCAGGACATATTCTTTAGAGGTATTTTGTTTGTTTGATGTCTTTTTTTCTTTTTTGCCTGTTTTAAGTTTTGCAAAATTATTATACTTTTTTATTATACTTTTACATTATAGTATTTTAAATATTAAAGGCAGGTCTTTGCTCACTAAACTATAAAAAATGTATTTTTCATCTTTTTTTTAAGAAAAATTTTAGAAATATCTTGTCAAAAAAATTTTTAAATGTAAAGTTTTTGTTGGAACTGCTGTAAATCCCTCTATTTTTCTGGTCTTCTCTTGTATCGTTCAGCATATTGTCTTTTCAGTTTTTAAAAACGAAAAGCTACAGTTTTTTCTCTGTAGGCTTTATGGACTTTTAAAGGTTGTTTATAATATAGATTTCCCATTAAATATTCTAATTGGTCATTGTTGGTATATTAGAAAGTTGAGTTGTGAAATTTATCTTGGGCTTAGCCATTTCCTTTAACTTGCTTGTTAATTCCTAGAGCTTTCTAGCTGATTTGTCTTTGTTTTTATGGCAAGCTATCAAGTTATCTACCCCAATGCCCTGTTTTCCTCTTCGTCTTTAGTAGTTAGACCTTGTTTCAGTTTCACGTCTTACTGCTTTGGTAAGACTATACAGCACAGTGTTAACTTTTAATGGTGATAGCAGACGTCCTTGCTTTGTTTCAGTAAATTTTCCTGACAGTTACAATTTCCTCAACAAAGAATGGAATGACAGGACTCTTCCTATTCACTTGTAGGGAAAAACATTTCCTTACAAGTTGGGAATCCATTTAAGGAACCCATATAGGCATAGATTGGAAAGGACCTGGGTAGACTGTTGTCTGTAGAAAGCGTTTGGTCATTTATATTTGTCCATTCCAAAAACCCTTTATCTAACCTGTGATTATCAGGGAGGTCGTTCTGACTCACGGATCTTTGAAAATTATACCTGAGGTCTGTTTAACCTAGGACTTCAAAAACAATGGGAATTGCAAAGGCGTAAGTCCACACAATGGAGTAACAGTGCAATTTGCAAAATGGCAAACCTGAACATGAATATGCAATGTACAAGTAATGCTCTGTGTTTCTGATGCTGATTATCAACTCTACTTAATTTTTTAAAAAGTGGCCAAACCCTTTGCTAATTATAGCTATTAAAAAAAAAGCGACTTTTTGTTTTGTTTTGCTCTTTAGTGATACCCTGGTTAAGCACTTGTTTTCCTGTGTATCACAACTGGTCTGTGCCAAAAATGCGGCTTCTTTGTACCACCGATTTAGAACTAATTGCAGAGCATTCTAAGTGTCTGTCCATTCGAGGTTCACAATTAACTAGGGTCATCGTACAAGACAAGTGCCAGAAACTTACTGCTACTCCAGAAATAACTCCTCTTGCTATGCTGTGGTTGCTTTTTCTCGGTGGCCTTTACTGTCGAATCCACGCATGCCACAGCTAAGAAGGTCTATACTGTCTCCTGAGATCTGGGGAGGATCTGTGAGTAGGGATGTGGAAAGATAGCAAGTCTTCCAGTATCCAAAGAAGGCTGCTTCGCTCTTGACCTATGGTAGCACCAGGTCCTGCTACCGTTTCCCTGGCCCCTCTGCCACTCTCAGTCCCCCTTTCTTCCTGAGGACTCCTCTGCCCCAGCCTCCAATCAGCAGTGCCTCCCCCAAGCTCCCCAAGGTAACGTTTCCCCAGTCCTTGCTCAGAATCTTTAGCCAAAGCTCCCGATGGTGTTTCGGATTCCTTTACCCAGAGTCCTCACGCACGCTTGTCTGATAACCAGTCTGTTCCAAGGGCTGTGAGTGGCGGGGTGCCTGCTTACTTGCCTTAGGTTGCGTTGGTACTTGTGGTGTCAGAGGGTTCTGGTTCTAACTGTGGGACTGGCTCTAACCGTGGGACTGGTTCTAACTGTGGGAAACTCAAGCCCTACTCACAGCCTAAAGAGAAGCATGAAGGATTTGAAATCCCCTAACATCAAGTCCTTGAGTACTTGTGTAATGTTGGCATGTTCCTGCCTTCAGTACATTCCCATAACGGAAATATGCGTGCATGTTCCCAGCTATTCAGACACTCACACTGCCCTGGGACCTACTGAGTATCCAACCTGTTAGCTCTCATTATGTGGATCGTATAGGCCTATCTTCTGTACATGCGTCTACAAACATTTATTTCTCAACTACTCTCCTTTTGCTCTCCATCCTTCACCTCTAGGCAGAAATCACTTCCATCAGCCAGTGGGAGGGAAGGCAACCCCACCCTCTTCTCAAGCACCTGCTACCCCATCTTAGAGTCCTCATTAGCAGGACCTGTCACTCTGAGTCTGACTTTCACTCTCCCTGTCACAACATTGGGTAATCTAGTTTTTGTGGTTATGGTTTCCCAAGTAGTTTCCAAAATACAAGATTATTTTTTCTTACTTTATTTTCTTATGCTATGCTTGTTTATCCAGGGAAATCCACCAAGACACTTTTTAATGGTGGTAAAATACACACAACATAGAATGTACTACCTTAACCATTCATAAGTCCATGTGCAGTTCAGTGCCATTAAGAACATTCGCATTGTTGTGCAATCTCCAGAACTCTTCGTTGTCCAGGACTGAAACCCTACACACATTAAGCCACTTCCCATTCCCCCCCCCCAACCTCCTAGCCCCTGGCAACCACTAATCTACTTTCTGTCTCTATGAATTTGGCTACTCCAGGGACCTCAGGAGTAGAATCATACAGTGGTTATCTTTTTGTGACTGGCTTATATCACATAGCATCATGTCCTCAGGGTTCATCCATGTTGTGGCTAGTGTCAGAATTTCCTTCCTTTGTAAGGCTGAATAATATTCCACCGACCTTTTGTTTATCCCTTTATCCACCAATGAACACTTGGGTTGCTTCCACCTTTTGCTATGGTGAATATGCTGTTATGAACGTGGCTGTCCAAATACCTCTTTAACACTCTGATTTTGTTTCTTTTGGGTATATACCCAGAAGTAGAATTGCTCAGTTAGATGGTAAATCTATTTTTCTATCTTTGACCACTCGCCATACTGTTTTCCCTAGCAGCTGCACTATTTTGCATTCCCACCAGCAGAGCACAAGGGTTCCGATATGTCCACATCCTCACCAACATTTGTTAGGTCCTGTGTGTGTGTGTGCATGTTTTTGTTTGTTTGTTTTTTTATAGCAATCATCCTAATGGGCATGAGTGGTATCTCATGGTGATTTGACTGACATTTCTTGATGATTGGTGATATTGAACATCTCTTTATGTGCTTATTGGCCATTTGCATATCCTCTTTGGAGAAACCTCTGTACAAGCCCATTGCCCGCTAATTTGTTTTTTAGAACTACCTTTCTTGGGAGCCACATGTGTTTATATGCAGAGGTTGTATTTACTCAGCTAGCTCACATCACCCTTGTTCTGTCACATTGACTTCATCTAAGGCAGGCCGCTTCCAACCTCCAGATCATATCCACCAGCCCACGCCTTCCTTGCCCTCTGCCCAAACACTAAAGGTCCGTTTCCATGCAGAAAAAAAAAAAATAACTTACAGATGGAGGATAGATGAAGACAGTGTGTCTCCTGGAGAGAGCCTGAGGTCTGGAGCAGCCTAACTCCTTGCCCACTTATTGTGTCACTTGTAGCGGGCCCTTCACTCCAGTCTATAAATGGAAACAAGGTTTTTACCTGCAGTGTCAAACTCACACCAAAATAGGTAAAATGAGAGAGAGAGAGAGAGAGAGAGAGAGAGAGAGATTGAGAACTGATCCTAAAAATCGCAAAACTGGGAAAAGTCCTACGGGTCATTTAGAAAAATACCTGTCCCTCCCTACCCCCCGCTCCAATGCTCAACATCTTCTTTAACATGTTAAGAGTCTTTGCAAAGTTTGAGGACGCTACCCAAGGAAGGTTAGATGGTTTTATTATAGTAGGTATTATTTTTGCAAAGGAACATGAGTGAACAGATGTGGCTAGGGGCTCACAAATCTGAACCTCATGAGCAAAATGGCAAAGGCTGTGGCTTCCTCCTGCCCACTCTCCCATGATATCTGCCCACAGCCTCTCTTGGGGGAGGATGTTTATTTCAAGCATCCGGAGAAGCATTGTGCTTTGTTCAGGATCCACCTGCTACTATCCAGTTCCAAACACAATTCACTGATGCTGTTGGACTCCAAAGTGGGAGGCTGGCCGCTGTTATTCCCTTGAATTTAGTCCAAGAAACTAAGCAAAGGGTGGAGGGACCCCACTGGAGGCCAAACCAGTTGGGATGTTAAGTTGAACAACAATTCGCTGAGTTCTTTTGTCTGTTCGGTGCTAGGCTCAGCGTGGTCTGGGTTCAAAATTATGAAACGTACACCCACTGCCCCCATTAGGGAGTCTTATAGTCTAGCCAGGGAGAAATGACTATGACAGGAAGGCAGACTATGGTCACATCTGAAGCGTGGATCCTAGGGGATATGGCAAAGAGGTATTGCCGTTATGAATAGTAACAGTACTAGCTGCCATTTGTCCAGTGCCCATTAGGTTCCGCCCACGCTCCTGGGCGCTCTTCATGCAACATCTCCTCAGTCACAGCTCAGTCTTCAGCAGAGGAACCTCACACTCAGACTAGTTGCATGACTTGCAAAGAACCTAGAAAATATAGCAGAGGCAAGGTTGAAGCCAGGCTATGGAAGATAGGACCAGCTTCATGGAGGAGGTGGGATTAGAGTGGAGTCTTGAAGGATGGGGAATCCAAGGGAGAAGGTGGTGGTCTTCCTTCTTCTTATAGCCAGGGTTGTGAAGGTCGCAGGCTCTCACGCACTTGGGCTTCCCATGGTGGGACATCCCCCCACCCACCCATGTGAAGGCCTTTCCCCACCAGCTTCTCCTGCACACATTCTCCCCGTTCTTCGACGCCTACCATGACATGTTTCCACTAACGCCCAACCTGATGTGTGCTCCCCCTCCTTTGAATGTCCATAGCACTTTAGTAGTACCTTCCTCATCATACTTAACATGGAAGGAGCTCTGTCACCCATCCCTTTGTGCCTCAGTTTCTTCATCTGTCAAATGGGGAGAATAATAACACCCATCTCAAAGGGTTATGCAAAGCCTAAATAAGTCAATAGGCGTAAGGCACTAAAACAGTGCCGGACACATAGTAAGCATCATTTATTTTCATGGCCACGTATGCAGACTGAGAGCTGTGACCATGTGGCGTTCACAGCTACCCCCACTCCCACCCCACCCCACACGTGATACACGTGCAGAGATTTTCACTCGGCATCTTCCAGTCGGAGTTTCATAAATGTCGGAAGAGGTGACCAGGGTTGAGGTGCAGCTTCTTAAGACTCTGTAGTTTGAGGAAGGTGCCATTTTGTGTGGCTTGTTTAGATTGTGCAGGAGCCCTGTCCCTCTACCTCTCTCCAGAAGACATATTTCAACCAGAGACCTCCAGAAGCCCAGAGTTGTCCAGGCAGGGACTCCCCTCCTCCTCATCCAGAAGGCATGGTGTTTGGGAGGGTGTGGTGCTCACGGGGAAGCAACATAAGGTTCCCCAAAGAGAAAGGGGCCTAGGGAAGAAGGAGCTACTGGCCATATCCCGAGGTGTCCAGACTGCCCCCAGCAAACGCTGTTTATAAGAGCTTGATTTTTCCAGAAACAAAGCCTCTCTCCACGTACTTCCTTCGAGACCTTTCTCTGAGGGGTGAAGCAGCAGTGGCCTGAGAATTCATTTTTCTGTGACCTTGGCTCTTGAGGGCCTTCTGAGGCTACCTCTGGACTCCTCTGTCTGTGACCTAGAGGTTAGCTAGCCCTGCTCTTTTGGCCTCACCCGAGCCCGGTGAGTTCCTACTCAGCTCCCTTAAATTCCAGCCGAGAGAAGAAAGCTGGGGCCTCAGGCCAATCCTGACTTTGCTCCTTGTGTGGGAGCAAAGGATCCTGGGTTTTCCTGCCTCAGGCCACAGCAGTAGGAAAATACCCAGGCTGCTTTCCAGGCTGGGAGGGCCCCAAGTAGCGGTGCCGCCCCACAAACAGGAAGCCATCTCCTCCACGGAGGCTCAGTTCGGATGCCCCCCACACGCCCCAGCAGTTTCCCCCCCCAAACAGGAAAGTTGTCGGAGCTGTTCAGGCATTTCCTCCTCACCATCTGCCATCCGGACAGAGGAGAGAGTCTTGGTTTCGGTTCCTTTCCTGTGCAGGGGTGGGGGCGCTCTGATTGGAAGCTGCTGGAACACATCCTGGGACTCATGAGAACAGGCTGTGGAAGGCCACAGCCGGTGTGTCCAGTTCCTCCCGGGCCCGGGACTCAACTGTCCAAGAATCATGAGAATTTCCCTCTCGGGGAGGCTGAGTTCCCGAGTCCTAGAGACCACCAGCAACCCGGAGCAATCTGTGAACCCCACGTAAAACTGGGTCCCATGCCGTTCATGAGAAAAAGGGGACGGGAGAAAGACCCCATTTCAGCTGGAGCTGGGCTCTTCGGGAGCCCCCCTGGAGGCTAAGAGGGAAGGGCCCTCGGATGCCCGAGTCCATAGCCATAGATTTGTGCTCTACGCCTCACTTCCCTTGGCTTTTCCTCCAACATTTGGGGCTATTGTAACCTTGAAACAAAGGATTTTCCCTTCATCGGCGACACATTATTAATATTTTCCGTGATTGGCAATTTCTTTTGAGTTTAATTTGAAATAACATATGCGTGCCCGGGCAGTCCTTCAATGAGATCATATGTCTTGAATCTGTTCTCTGACACCTTACAGTGCCACCCATGACACTGATACATATACGTTTTGGTACTGGGACATTTTTGAGTTTTTTTTTTTTTTTCTTATTGTGTTTTTGCATATATATAGGTCACAGGATTTTCCCCCCAGTTAAAATTTTAGGGAAAAAAGAAAAAGTCCTTCTTGTTTAGAGAGTAATGGTGTGACTTGAATCAGGATCGGTGCCTGACACTCTGGATGCCGTTCTGGGTGCGTTAGTAATTTCATATTTCATCTCCCGCTCGCCATTTCTCTCTGTCTGCCCAGGAGGACTTTAAGAAGGATAACGAATTAAAACTGACCCAAGTCCTGTGTGAGAAGGAGCCAGCTGAGGCTGGGGCCGGGGTGTGCTCCCTGCTTCTGGCCCAGTCTGAGGTGAGGCCTCACTGCCTGCTGCTGGTCTTGGCCAACAAAACAGGTAAGGGGTGCATCTGCTTTGGGCTCTGGGGAGCGAGCAGGGCTGAGCTTAGAGGATCCTAAGAAATCTAGTAACTGGGCTGAAAAGAGCCCTCAGGTGCTAGGGGACAAGAGCCAGGCTGACTTTGGGAGAAGCTCTCCTGAGAGGGCCCACCCTGGCCATCAGAGCATCATCTAGAACATCACAGGGGGGCACAGCAGGATGATCTCTTCCTGATTCTAGATTCAACAGTCCCTGTTTCTAATTCTAGAACTTTTCAGTAAACTCCAACTTCTGAGAAAGCACCAGTCTGACCTGAAAAAGGTAAGTTCTCTAAGATGATGGGAAGTCTCAGAGGGAATATGCGTCAGGGGAATTCACTCGAGGAGGGGAGAAAGTAATTCTTTTTTCTTGACCTCTTTCCTGTCTCTCCATCCTTCTCCAACAATCTTTGCCTTTCTGTGCTTGAAACAAAATTTTATGGTGCAGCTTGTTTAAGGGATGGCAGTCTGAAATCCCATTTCGAAAAAATCCCTGGGGTCAAAGTCTTCTTGTGTGCACCCCCTGTTGGGCCTGGAATGGGCTGCAGAATTCCCATCCCACAAGTGACTGTCTGTCTTTTCTGTGTCTTCCCTTCAAGCTGGGAATCCGAGACTTCACTGAACAAGATGTTGGGAGCCACCAGAGCTATTCCCGCAAGACCCTAATTGCACTGGTCACCTCAGGGATCCTGCTGGCTGTCTTGGGCACCACTGGTTACTTCCTGATGAACCGCCGCAGTTGGAGCCCTACAGGAGAAAGGCTGGTCAGTTTGGGGGTCCAAAGCAAAGAAATTGAGGAAGATAGGGGTCTTCTGGGGAGGTCCCTAAATGTCATGAGGAGGGAGGAGAAATACCAGAAAAGGTGCTTCTGTGCCCTTACCCGTTGACGTGCATACACGCACATTACCATGTCCATGGACAAGTCTGAATAACGCGTAGCAGATTAGGAAGGGGGCACTGACTGGGGTCAGGCCACCTGCTCACTGTGGCAGTGGATGGCTCATGTCATCTATTTATGATCTTGCCTGGGATAGTTTGGCTGGGTACAACCAGAACAGGCTGCTAAATCAGCCACACTTATCCGCAAGTATATTAAGTGCCCATGGGTGCCACCCAGCTCTGAAGAAGGGGGCATACGGAAGGAGAACCTCCTCTTCAAGTGTTCTGGATGAGGGAGGACAAGACTGGGGTTTGACTCCTGGCGTGGCCTGGTACATACTCTGGGGAGGTCATCCCATGCTGGGGATTGCCTGGTTTCTGGTGGGAACTGGTTATTAAGTCGCGGTGGCACCATGTGGTGCCTCTCCTCTGTCCTTTCTCCTTTAGGAGCTGGAACCCTGATCGCTCTTCAGGAAGAAAGGAGTCTGCACATGCAGCTGCAACCCCCACTCTCTCCCCCACCCCCCCACTGCCTCAATCCCCTGCTTACCAGATAATGCTCCTTTATTTATACACTGTCTAGGGCGAAGACCCTTATTACACGGAGAACGGTGGAGGCCAGGGCTATAGCTCAGGCCCTGGGGCCTCCCCTGAGGCTCAGGGAAAGGCCAGTGTGAACCGAGGGGCTCAGGAGAACGGGACCGGCCAGGCCACGTCCAGAAACGGCCATTCAGCAAGACAACACATGGTGGCTGACACAGAATTGTGACTCTGGGGGGGAGTAAGGCTGGGCAGGGTCTGGGGAAGGGGCCCCTCCCAGCACCTGACCACATGCTGCCTCTGTGCTGGAGCTGCCACCACTAACATTCTAGCCTTTCCTGCTGCACACACCCTCCAAGGCCGTTCCTGGGGCCCTGCACTGCACCAGGCCGAGGGGTTCTCTCCATCCTGGGGCCCGGGAGGTAGCCCCTACCTTTTATACGTTCATCTCACTAAGCCTAGAGTCTGGTCTCTCCTTTGAGTAAAGACATGAGGGAGACATGCCAAAGTACAGAGAAGCTACCAGAGTTGGGGGGGTGGGGGGTGATGATCTCACATCATTCACGTGTGGGCTTCTTCCCTCTTCCTCCTCTCTGCCTTATTAAAAGAACTTCCAGGGGGAAGCATGGCCTTTTCTGGGCTACAATGTCCTCCTGGGAGGCTTTGTCTTTTCCTGTGTCTTCCTCATGTCTGTCTCCTCTACTTTAGGGAAACCAAAGCAACTCAGTGCACCTGCTCCTTTGTAATGCTATAGCCAGCAAGACTTGTTGTCTTAAACCGTCTCCCTTGTGCTCACACCAGCTCACTGTGGATTACAGGCACCGGCTTCCCTCATGCTCTCCGGGCTCCCTGAGCTCCACACCTTCTCCCTGCACCTCTGTGTACAGAAGCCTGCACTGTTCTCTGGCTGAGCCTGGAACGAGACTCCAAGTTTTGAACAATGTCTTGTGTCTATGTTTGGGAGACAGCATAGGGATGCGTGGACACATGCGTCCCTATCTTTTGGGACAAATGAGGGAGAGGGGATGGCTCAGTCCTTGTCTCTCTGGGACTCACAGAGTCTCATCTTGGGCCCCCGTTTCTCCTTGTGAGTCTCAGTGAACGGGACCAAGGGACCAGATCTTGGAGCCAAGCCTCTTGACCCGTGCACCTCTGAAGAAGCCCCTCGCTCGGAAGCTAGGTCCTGGCCTTGCCTTCTGATCCTGATGGCTTCCTCCTTCCTCCCCCTGACTCCTGGGTGAGCTGTGGACTCAGACTCCCAGCAGACTCCTTTCTGTCTCAGCCTCCCGACCCCAACCCCCTCACTGTTCTGTACCCCCATATAGTCAGGGCCCCCGACATCTCCAGAGGACCTACATCACAAGCCACCTCCTCTGTAGGTGGCCCAAGGTTCTCATTTATATTTTTAGGTATTTTTTTTTCCAGAGGGGTGAGCAGAGATCTTGGTTTCAATGACAGTTGGAAATAGAACTTTCCAGAGATAGGAAGACTGGGTGGATTTTATTTCTGAATACAAAAATGGTGTGTGTAAATACTGTAATTAAAGTGATACCGAGACACATCTGTTCTGTGTCGCTCTCCCAGCCAGGTGTGTCTGAATGTCATGTCACGGCGGTGTCCCGGGTGTCCTGGTCAGACCCGGCCGGACTTCCCAATGATGTGGTGGAGAGGGGTGACCCTGGAAAGAGGTGGGCCCATCTCAGGGGATACAGGCAAAAGCCAGGGTGCTGCCCCTTGGCCAAGTGTCCCTATGCGTGGGGGGGGGGGGTTGGAGGAGGGTCACAGGAAGGCTGGATGTTTCTAGTCATAGAAAGACAGACACCAGAGTGCAGCAGGCGCCTTTAGGATGGAGGGTGGTGTGCTGAGGACGTGGGAGCTCGAGCTGTCGTGAACACCCTTCTGAGAAGTGGCACACTTTGGTCACTGGATGCAAAATATGCATAAGCAAGGGAAGGAGCCCCGTGCAGCGTGTATTGTCACACCACCTCCCACCTGAGCTGGGAGCAGAGCAGGGGAGGCTGGTGCAGGCAGCTTCTGCTCCCCAGATCTGGCTGCCAACTCCAGGAGGGGGTGGCTCCTACCTTCAGCACCAAGACACCAGCCTAACTGCAAAAACGTCCGCAAGTGCACCCGCCCCCCACTCCCAGCCCCCCCCCCAACCCTGCCATAGGAAGTGGGGGAGGGAGCACTGCCAGACACTGCCCAGTAGCTTCAGGAAACACTCCCAAGTGTGTCAACAGTGGCAGAGGCAGTTGGGGCCAAACAAAAAATCCTTCCATTCTTATCTGGCAGAAGCCAGACCTTTCCCTTTTGCTCTCCCCGCCCCCACTTCCCCCTTGCTTTTCTCCAACTGCTCTAACCAGAGGTTCCTCAGCAGATCTCAGGGGGCAGGAGAGAGGCAAGGAATAAGATCTAGACCTTACCCTGGCAGGTGATGGTTGGACCTTGGAGGGGAGGAGGGTGGCAGAAAGGGAAGAGAGTCATCTGGAAAGAGGAGCTGAGTTGGCCTCCATCGAGTTACATCCTGCCCTGCAAGGGACCAGATGGGGTCTGGCGGGTTGCGGATGGCAGGGAGAAGAGGCGTCCAGGGCACGGGCTCCCGGGAAGCATGGGAGGAGGAGAAAAGGCACCTGGATCTTTGAAACGTGTCCAGCCTCGAGCCAGGCGACCTCCTATAGCTGCTGCAGTATTTTACCCTGAGTCTGTCAGCCGATGGAGGCTTTGGGAGGAAGGTGTGTGTGTGTGTGTGTGTGTGTGTGTGTGTGTGTGTGTGTGTGTGTTTAGAGGGTCCCGTGGCAGCTAGCTCTCTTCAGTGGCTGGACAGCTTGCCCCGAGTTCAGGGTTAATTGCATTTTTAAAAATCCAACTTTCCCGCCACCTTTGGCCTGAGCACCCTAGCGCAGCAAGGGCTCCACCTGCTGGCCACGCTGGGCTCCTACCGCGGGACTGCAGGTCACAGGTGTCTGGGGTGGGGGGGGTTCTCTCTCCCAGCTGCCCCACCCTCAAACAGCCAGTCCCGGGGATCTCATATGTGAAGCTCATACGACTCTAAGAAGTCACTGCTGAAGAGGAGTTTAGAGATGCATGCAACTTAACTCCCTTATGTCAAGTTAAGGACAGACTTGGGCCCAGAGAGGAGAGGGGGCTTGCCCAGATCCCCTGGAGCCCAGGTGTCCTGCATCCGAAGCTCTCCCCTTCATCCTACTCTCCCACTCTTCCACCAGGGCTTTGGGGTTTCTCCAGCTGGATGTCATGAAGCCGGGGAAGGCAGTGTCTGAATAGGTTTGGGGCTTCAGCCCAGGAGGCTTCCCTCAGCCCCTGCTCTTTCGTGTGAGCAGCCAAGCAGGTCCCGGGGTCTTGGGACAAAGGAGAGACTGAAGACCCCGGGGATCTGTGAGGCTCAGCTCTCCTGTGCCCATCATCAGCCCCAGGGAATTAACTCTGGAGTGTCATGTAATCCGTTGTGGAAAGCAGACCTATCAGAGTTGCATCTAAATGGCTAAAGGGGTTCATCCTTTAAATCTGGATACACGTCTCATCCCCATCGCATCCCCTCCAGGTTGATCAACCCCCACACCTCCTCTGCATGCAAACCCTGTAGCAGGTGAGCAATTTTGTGCAACAAGTGGCTGCTTCTGTTCGTAAAGCCCCCAGCCAGCCAGCCTTCAGTCATTCCCGAGTCACGTACCAGCAGTGTTCCAGGGGCTGGGGATGGAGCAGTGAATACATCCATTCAGAGCTCACAATTCTGGTGGAGAAGAAAGGCAATACGCACGCACGCTCACCTGAGTAAATAAAGACAGATGTTTTCAGGTTGTACGAAGAGCGGTGAAAAATATGAAATGGCTGAGAGTGACTTTGCATAGGGTGGTCCCTCCCAAGGAGGTGAGAATGGAGAGCAGAGCTCACTCGAATGAAGTGAGGGAGAGGTCATGCCACGCAGGGGAAGTGGCAAATGCAAAGCTCTGTGGAGCAAGCCCGAGAGGCCACAGTCAGGCAGGGCAAGAAGGCTGCTGGGTTGCATCAGCCTGAGTGCAGGGGAGGTCAGCCGGCCGGATCACAGGAGGCCTTGCAGGCCTGGGTAAGGAGTTTGGCTCTTATTTGCAGATCGGAAAACCACTGGGAGGTTTTGAGCAGAGAAGCAATATGATCTGATTTATGTTTTTAAAAGGTCAAGCTGGCCACTGAGTAGAGAATGGGGGTAGAGAGGCAGAGAGAGCGGAAGGGAGGAGGGCAGGTGAGCTGTAGCAATCTTATGAGGTCCATCCGTCACCATCGTGCGCACAGGAAGGACCTGGGAGCCTGGTGAGTGCAGCGGAAATGGAGCGGAATTCCAAAAAGGTCTGGAAGGTCCAGCCAACGGGGCTTGTTCCCTCCATTTATTCCTTCAAATACCAAAATTTAAATAATGCATTTTGTTTCATATTCACAGAAACCCAATGAGCCAAGCACCATTATCTCAGAAAACAAAACTGAGTTTTTGGAGAAACAGGGGTCTGGTCTGTGCTAGGGGCACAGTGGGCAGAAGCAGACTACAGTTGCCCTGAAGCCACAGAGTTTTTTAAATCTAGAAGAGAATACCATAAGTGCATTAAAACAAACAACAAGACCACCACAACATGCAGGGCAGGGGGTGAGAAATAACACAAGAAAAGGCTAAGTGAACTACTGTGCCTCCCGAGGGGCAGATTCCTTCCAGCAGGGCGATCGGGGAACGTGTATCCTGGGGGAGGTGGTATCTGAGTGGGGTGGTGAAACTGGATACAATTTTGGTGTGGCAAAAATGGGCGAGGACTTTTGGGGCTGATTGAAGAGCGTCCAGACAAGCACGCTCGGGTAGGAATATGGGGAAGTAAAAGGTCCTTTCAAAACCCTGGGTTTCCTGGTACAGCAGAGACATAGGACGTATTAAGGGAAGCCAGGTACCAAAAAAGTATGTGTCACAGTCCGTGTAGGGCATTGAATGCCAGGCCACAGAGCTTAATTATATTCAATAAGAAAGAGAGTACCACTGAAAATTGCCCATTTATTCATTGATTTATTCATTCACTCAACACATCTTTTTTGGAGGGTGTTTATTATAAGCCAGATACTAAGCCAGGCACCAGGGCTAAGACAGTCTTTTTTGTCAAGTCCTTACACCGATGAGCATGGGAGGGACAAATGACAGAACGATGAGCCCTGAATCTAAGTGATATGGGGAAGGATACTTTGAATGTAAGGGGCACAGAAACCACAGAAGGCTTCCCAGAAGAGGTGACATCTGGGACAAGCAGGGTTTTAAAAGAAGACACTAGAGCTCAGTGCTCCAGGAAGAGGAATGGGCCTTGGCCCAGGCACCAAGTGAGGGTGGTCATTCCAGAAATGTGAGGGGTTCTTTGAAGGCTCAGGCAAAGAATACGGTTCTTCTTTGAATCTTCTATTTCTGTGCTGAGACTTTCTACTTGTTCTTTCAGTTCAAGCATGTTATATTTGCTCATCGAAGCATTTTTATGACAGCTGTTTTAAAATTCTCATCAGACCACTCCAAAATCTCCGTCGTCTCAGTATCGGTGTCTGTTAATTACCTTTTCTCATTCTAGTTGAGATTTTTCTGGTTCTTGGTACCACAAGTGATTTCAGATTGTATCCCGGATATTTTAGGTACGATGTTCTGAGACGGTAGATCTCTTTGCAATCTCCTATTTTTAGCAGTCCCCATTCGATACTGCCCTGGTGGGGTGGGGGGGGGGCGGCTCTCTGTTACCACCAGGTAAGGGTGGAAACCCAGGCCACCCATTTAGCTGTCTGCGCCTGTTGAGGTGGGTGCCCCATTGTCGTTGGGCCAGACTGGGGGTTCAGGCTCTGTACTATCCCTCTGTCGATACCCTGGTAACATCATTCTTTGAGTCCTGAGGCCCCTAGCCTTCTTCGCTTTGCGTATCGGAGTCTTCTCACGGTTGTTTTGTTTATAATATCCAGACTTGTTAGACGTACTTAGCAGGAGAAGTAGGAGGAGATGTGTCTGTTTCATCTTGTATGGGACTGGAAGTTCATGCACAAAATGGGAAGGAGGAAGGGCGGATCCCTGGCCATGAGGCTGGAGTGGTAGGCAGGTTCTAGAGCAGCTGTCCTCAAAGCCCTCTCACACTGTTACAAGGTATTTAGAGCCCCTCAAAGAGCTTTTGATTTTGAGAGTCACATCTGTCCACAATCACTAAATCAGAAATTAAAACTGGGAAATTTAAAATAAAAATAAAACTGGGAAAATTTTAAATTATTCAGTAATTCACTTATAAAAATGATGATTTTCTCATTAAATGAGGATATAAGTAATCCACCTTTCCATGAAAAATAATATTTTCAAAAATAAAAACACTTAGGGAGAAGAGGGACATTGTTTTACATGTTGACACGTCTCTTCAGTATCTGGCTTGATAGAAGACTCCCGACTCTCTTACATGTTTCTGTGTTCAATCTGTTGTCCTATTACACGTCCCGTGGCCTCTAGGACATTGCGGTGTCTACACTTCAGAGAGAAGAAGAGTGGAAAATGGCATTGTTTTTGCATTATTACAAAGA